GTAACAGGTCAGTTTTAAGGTACTCAGAGAAGACAAGGGGTGGGGCAAAGGAATGTGGGAGGTAGAGCTTGCATCAATCTCCTGCTGGGAATGTAAACGATGTGTCTGAAACATTTTATGGCTTTTCTGGGAAGAACAGCTCCTTGTCTGATAAGGGAAAAGCAGCTCCTTATCTGATAAAGGTTAGCATACTCTAGACGGTGGGGATGGGCGGCCATCTGGCATCATTTGGCTCCCGACAATAGCTTATAATCTTGCTATCCTTGCTTACTAGTTCCAGGAGTCAAAAATACTTTTTTTTTTTAATTGAGACAGTTTCACTTTGTCACCCTTGGTAAAGTGCCATGGGGTCAGCTCACAGCAACCTCAAACTCCTGGGCTCAAACGATTCTCTTGCTTCAGCCTCCCTAATAGCTGGGACTACAGGCGCCCTCCATGATGCCTGGGCTATTTTTTGTTGTTGTTGCAAATAAGGACAGTTTTATTTATTCCTTTCCAATATATATCCTTTTTTATTTTTATTTTTTGTCTTACTGTACTAGCTGGGACTGAAGAACAATGTTGAACAGGAACGGTAAGAGAGATCATCTTCTCCTTGTTCCAGTCTTAGGGGCAAAGTTGAGTATGTGTGAGTTTAGCTGCAGATTTATTATAGATGTTCTTTACCAGTTGAAGTAGTTCTCCCTTACTCCTAATTTGCTGATAATTTTTTTTTAAATCATGATTGCTCTTTCAGTTTATCTGATTTTCTATATATGTATTTAGGCTGTTGAGAAAGTGGGGTTACATTGATCGTCAAATGTTGAACTACTTTCACTTCTCTGGATTAAATCCCACTTGGTCAGGGTGTATGGTTGTGGGCTTTGATTTGCTAATATTTTGTTAAAGATTTTTAATTTATGGGAGATACTGGTCTATAGTTTTATTTTCTTAGATTATCGTTATCTGGTTTTAGTATAAGGGTAATGTTGGCCTCATAGAATTCGTAGGGATGTCTTCCCCTGTCTTCATTTTCTGGAAAAGATGGAGAAGTGGTATTATTTCTTCCTTAAATATTTGGTAAAATTTACTAGTGAAACCATCTGTGCCTGGTGTTCTTTCTTTGAAAACTTATTATCAATTCAACTTCTTTAGTAAATACAGGATTATTTACGTCTTTTGTTTCTCCTTGTGTGAGTTTTGGTAATTTGTGACTTGAGGACATGATCCATTTCATTTAAGTTTTATTTGCAGGTATAGAATTGGTTATTTATAGTATTCCTTTATTACTTTTTTTATTTCCTGTGGGATCAGTAGTTAGGTCCCCTTTTTCATTTCTGACATTGGTTATTTGTTGTCTCTCACAGCCTGGGTAGGGATTTATTTCTTCTGCTTATTCTTTGTCTAGTTTCCTAAGTAAGAAGCTTAGCTTATTACGTTCTGACCTTTCTTCTTTTTTAACTTGTGCATTCAAAGCCAGGGATTTTCCTTAAGCACTACTTTGCTGCAGTTTTGATAAGTTATATTTTTATTTTCATTTACTTCAAAATATTTTTACACTTCTTTATTGAGTTTTTTGACCTATAGAGTTTTTATATTTGTTTTATCTTTAGAGAGAGGGTCTTGCACTGTGACTCAGGCTGGAGTGTGGTGGCAAAATCATAGTTCGCTACAGCCTTAAACACCTGGGCTCAAGCTGTTCTCTGACCTCAGCATCCTGAGTAGCTGAGACTACAGGTGTGAGCCACTATGCCCTAGGTTTGTCCTGTGGTTTTTTAGAAGTATGATGTTTAATTTCCAAATTCTTGGTGAAGGGGTGATTCCAGCTATCTTAGTGTTAATAGTTTCTATGTAGATTAATTCCATTGTAGTTTGAGAGCATGCTTTGCATGATTTCCATACTTTTCATCTGTTGAGGTATGTTTAATGGCCCACAATATGGTCTGTCTTATTCAATGTTTCATATAAATTGGGTAGAATGTGTATTCTGCTGTTGTTGAAGGGAATATTCTATAAATATCAACTAGAGAAAGTTGATTAATATTATTACTTAGTTTAACTATATCCTTACTGACTTTCTGCTTGCTGGTTCTGTCAGGGGCTGACCAAGGGTGTTGAAGACTATGACTATAATAGTGGGTTTATTGTTTTCTCATTTTGGTTTTATTAGGTTTTGTTTGTTTGTTTTAAGACAGAGTCTCACTTTGTCACCCTCAATAGAATGCCATGGCTCACAGCAACCTCAAACTCTTGGACTCAAGCAATCCTCCTGCCTCGGACTCCTGAGTAGTTGGGACTACAGGCACCTGCCACAACACCCAGCTAGTTTTTCTATTTGTAGAGATGGGGCCTCAGTCTTGCTCAGGCTGGTCTTAAACTCGTGAACTCAAGCAATCCACCCTCCTCAGCCTTCCAGAGTGCTAGGATTACAGGCCACCGCACCCAGCTGATTCTATTAGTTTTTACCTTATTTATTTTGATGCTTTCATGATAGGTATGTACATTACCTAACATCAAGAGGTTAGGGGCTTAGCACCTGTACTACAAAGCCAGCCACATACACCAAGGCTGGCGGATTCAAACCCAGCCCAGGCCAGCTAAGCAACAATGACAACTGCAACAAAAAAAATAGCTAGCAGGCACTGTGGCAGGCACTTGTAGTCCCAGCTACTCAGGAGGCTGAGACAGGAGAATCACTTAAGCCCAAGAGTTGGAGGTTGCTGTGAGCTGTGACACCATGGCACTCTACCCGGGGTGACATAGCGAGACTCTGTCTCAAAAAAAAAAAAAAGTAAAAAAATAAGAGGCTAGGGTTGTTGGTCTTCTTTTCATTATCTTTTTGTTATTACATAATGTACTGTCTTTATCACTGGTAATCAAAGAATTTCTAAAGTCTGCTTTGTCTGAAATTAATCTCCAGTATCACTTTTTTCCACTTTATTACATTTTATCCAATCCAGTAACACTTTTTTAGGGGCTTCCTGGGAGTCTGTTTATTTTCCAAAATTCATGGTTTAATTTAGCACCTCATTTGCATTGTGTTTTTGGATTATTTGTACCCGTGTGATAGAAGCTGATTTTAATTATTCATTAGGGAGGGATTAATTTTATAGGTGGACAATTCATTGATAGATGTTTTTATATGATGACAATTTTTGTTTCTTCAGTCAACTTCATACCCCAGGTAAGGAGTATCATTCATTCACAATGTAGTATCTGTATTTACTGGAGTCCCAATTCTTTGGGGTGCTAATGCAATCTTACTGACTCTTAGTATACAATTTAAACAAAAGATCATCTATTCTCATGGTGCTAAAAGTAGGTAGCTAGTGTGCAGTGGAGAGTGGGGGACATGTGCTACCTCCTGATGTTGAGGGCATAGAACTAGTTTCTCTATAGTAATGGCTGCTCTAATTACATCTACCACTGGGGAAACCTATGTTTAGAGAGGCTAATTTGTTCAAAATAATACTCTTAATTCAGTTGGGTCTTATTCCAAAGTCCATGTTCTTTAAAAATTACATTATCTCATATTTTGAAACAAAATTTTAGATATCTGAGAAAGTGTCTAATTTATCTTATCATTTTTTTTTAACAGATGAGGTATTGCCATGTTGACCAGTCTAGAGTGCAGTGACTATTCACGGGTCTAGACATAGCATATACAACCTCAAACTCCTGGGCTGATCCTCCTGCCTCAGCCTCCCAAGTAGCTAGACTACAGATACAAGCTACCATGCTTGTAATTCCTGTAATTGTTAATTCCACACTGACTCCAAAACAAATAATGAAACATCACTGTATACTTTTTTTCTCTCCCATTGATACAGGGTGGAAAAAAAGATAAATAATACTCTTTTCACTGAGTTTTCAATAACATGAGTGGCTTACAACTTTATACATACAAGTTAGTCTAAAGGCAGCGTAGAATACATAATATTGATATCAACTATTCATCAGACCTTAGTATTTGTAATAATAATATGTGTGATGCTTATTGGTTTGCAAAAGCAACTTTACCTCATTTTACTAGTTGACTCAGAGTCTGAAAGGGAATTGTGTGAAATTGTGTCTCCAACACATCAGAACCCACATCTTGGGTTTTCCTCCCCTATATTACCCTGCTTCTTTGTAGAATAACAGAAGCCCTTCAAATATCCTTTCTGTGATAGTAAAATAGCCTCAAAACATTATCCTCTATGATGTCTGCTGGACTGGCTTACCATATATTTCAATTATGTGTTTTAATGAAATTTTAAAATTATGGTGTGTTAAAACTGTGTACCTTAACACTAGTTTTTATGAGTTAGATAGCAGTGCCTGTCCTTTTACTTCTTCATAGTTAATGATTGACTTTTAAGAGGATTGGTGGAAACCTATGTATTATCTAATTTTTTTTAATTAGTTTCCATAGAAGCTGAAATTTGTCACCATTCTTCAAAATGCAATGGAACGTACCACAGACGGTATCTCGACTAGCACACCGGACGTGCTTGGAACCATATAAAGCTGGTCTTTTTGGACACTGTCAAAACATAAATGGACCATTACTTATGTACAGTGCTGAATCCAAAGTGGTGTTGGTACGAGGCCTTCAGAAGCAGTGGTTGCATTTACCTGCTGCCTGGTGTGTGGCAAAGGAAAAGAGGCCATTGGGTGCTCATCCACCCTACCCTGCGCTCCTTCGCCGTAAACGATGGAAGCAAGAAGTTTTGTCCAAGAGGATTTTATCTTCCAGTGCTCCAGCCCAAGGAACTCCAGAAAAAAAGGAAGAGCCTGATCCTTTACAAGACAAATCTATTAGTCTGTATCAGCGATTTAAGAAAACATTTAGACAATATGGAAAAGTTTTGATTCCAGTACATCTAATAACTTCTTGTGTTTGGTTTGGAACATTTTACTATGCAGCCCTGAAGTAAGTTTTTGCTTGGTTGAATACCTTTCCCTATTTTATCAGAATGTTCATCTCCTTAATTATACTAATGATAGCCTTAAATAGATTTGTAAATGCTTTTATGTATTTTATTAATAGAGAATAATTACTTTTCATAGCTTTTTTTCACATTTTAGTAGTCATAGCTAACATTTACTTACTATGTATACCAGGCATCTTGCTAAATTATTTTAACTATATTATCTCAATTAATCCTCACAGCAACCATATGAAGCAAGTAGTATAATTATACCCATTTTATTGCTGAGAAAACAGATTAGGGGAAGAAAAATAAGAACTCAGCTGGTAAGTGGTGGAACCTGGATTAAAAACCCAGCTAGGTCTTTTTGACCTCAAGCACGTGTTCCTCATCGTGGTGCTGCCCTCAGCGTAGCATTCAGGAGCACAGAAATAAAATGTTACATCTAGAGATCTGGCAGCACCATCATTATGTATTTCTCATATCTGTTTTGCCATATATATAGTTTTGGTGGAAGGGAGAGTCATTAGATATTTTTGCTAAAACCTAGCTACTACCTATGTAGACACAAAAATGCACTGATTATATTTTAATATTATTCATGTTAAATGTCAAGATAAGGTCTTTTGTTCTGATGAGAACTAAATTTGGTGGTCCTGGCCTTCTAGTGTTGTGCAACATAAAATTTCTAAACGCGTCTTTCTTCTCAAATACTGGTCCTTCTGTTTGAGGTAAGTTATTTTCTTCATACTGCCTTAGGAGCAAGAGTACCATTAGCAGGCCCACTGCCCATTCTTAGTGTCCAGCCTAGCCTGCATGAATGGCTTTGGCACTTCAGTATACTCTCTAATAGATTTAGGATTATACTCTCTCCAAAGCCCAGTATTTTCCAGTGCTCGATTATATTCAGTCACTTGATAAGGTAGTTTCATATGTAAAGCTCATTCTTCAGATAAAGTGTATTAGCAAGTTAAAAATACCTCTTCCAGGATAATGGGATGAAGACCATATTTACTCATGAGAAAGATGTGATTGCAAAAGTTTCTTCATAAAAGTTATAAAAGGATTTTTTCTCATCTTGTATAATTGATGCCATTCTGTTTCTCTTCATCTCTTTCCATTATTTCTTTGTTTATTAATAACATTTTCTGGACATGTTTAGTACTTTTAGAAGCCTATAATTTTATTTATTTGAGACAGAATCTTACTCCATCTCCTTGGGTAGAGTGCCGTGGCATCATAGCTCATAGGAACCTCAAACTCCTGGGCTCAAGTGATCCTCTTGACTCAGCCTGTCAAGTCGCTGGGACAACAGGCACCTGCCATTACACCCAGCTGGTCTTTCTGTTTTTAGAGACAGGGTCTCACTCTTGCCCAGGCTGATTTTGAACTCGTGAGCTCAAGCAATCCACCCTCCTTGGCAAATTACAGGTATAAGTCAGTGCCCTCAACCAGAAGTCTATATTTTAAAAACTGGACCCCAAGGGCGCCTGTGGCTCAAAGGAGTAGGGCGCCAGCCCCATATGACGGAGGTGGCAGGTTCAAACTCATCCCCGGCCAAAAACTGCAAAAAAATTTTTAAATTTTTTTAAAAAACCAGACCCCATATAATCTACTAATATTATTATACTGAAGATTTTTTCACTACTATCTGGGACCTGAGGCAATTGAGAGATGTTCTGTCTTCTCCTATGAAATGCAGCTTTCTTAGTTCTGTCTCGCCCTCTCTTTTTCTGCAATATGCTTATGTATAAGCATGGTAATAAGACTGTTTAATTCAAAATTATATCACTTATCCATCACAACTTGCTTTGGGGTTCTTTGTCAGCATGGAATCTGATTGTCAGACCCCCTGCCCAGCTGTGACCTCTGGGCCAATTCCATAATAGCATCACATAGCGAATTTATTTTACACAGGATAGGCTGTTTTCCCAGAATAGTCCTCCTGAACATCTTTATTAGATCTTTAATACTTCAAAAATTGGAAGTTGATCAGTTCTAAGTGAAGATCTTAATCATAACTAATACTTAGAAAGTAGAACTCACGATTGAGAGGAAAAGGATTTAGTTATATTTGAATGACAGTATCTTTTACTGCGAGATGATGTAAAATCAAAGATCAACATCTTTTACAAAGATATTGTAAAATAAAAGTTGATTAATAGGTTTTTCTTTTTAATTCAGTTGACAAGAGGCTTAGTTGTATTTAAGCTTTTTTCGTTTTTGTTTTTGTTTTTTTTTGTTTTTTGTTTTTTTTTGCTGGAAAAAATAACATTTGTTTGTTGCCTACTTGCTATTAAAAGAGAGGGAAAAATAATTTGTGGCTGGAAGGATAGGCATTTGCTATCATGTTGCATTACTGACCAGTGTTTATCTTAGTTACCCTGACACTCATATTACTGCCTTTCTAGGCACCATAGACCAAAATGTCATTCTATATTTAGTTAATTCAGTGATAAAGTTCTTAGGCTTTTAAACTATTTTATTTCAGGGAGTTTAAAATTGTGCATGCTAACAAGTTTTATTTTAATCTAAGCTTTGTTGCTATGCCTGTCTGGAAGAACTTGCAGAAATCTTCTGACCATGGTGCTCTGTTCACTCCCATGTGGCTCAGTAATGGTGGTATTGTCCTTACATTTAGATACTTTGTGTGTGGAGCCTCAAGCTCCTAAAGCTACAGATCCACTCAGACAAAATCCTGACTGATTTTTACCCACTCTATCCAGATAGTGAATGAGCTTTTGTCTCTGTGTAGCAGGAAAATGAGGCCCATAGAAGGAAAGATTTACCTGAACACCTGTGTTTGAAAGAGGAAGGGGCTTTATTAAACCTGCAGACCTTTGGGGGACTAGTGTCCATAATGGCCGAGCTCCTCAATCAGCTTTGTCCCTGTCCTTTTGTTTGTTTGTTTGTTTTTTGTTTTTGAGACAGTCTAAAGCTGTCACCCTGGATAGAGTGCCTTGGTATCACAGCTCACATCAACCTCAAACTGCTGGGCCTAAGCAATTCTCTTGCCTCAGCCTCCCAAGTAGCTGGGACTATAGGCACCTGCCACAATGCCCAGCTATTTTTTGTCCCAGGCTGGATTTGAACCTGCCAGCTCTGGTGTATGTGGCTGGTGCTGTGGCCACCTGAGCCACAGGTGCCAAGCCTGTCCCTGTCCTTTTATTGGGCTCACAAATAGGCAGACAAAGGAAGTATTACATTGTCCCTCATTGGAGGGTTCAAAGCATGTGCAGGGTTTACAGGAGTGGAAGCAAGCATTAGCTTCAAGGTTCCAGGAAGCTAAGTTTTTACAAATTCTCATGAGCTGAGTTACTATGGGGAGGACTTTGTAGGTGTTCCTTGAGTTTCCAACAAGCCTTTTGTCCTTCTAGATCACAGCATACTCTTCCTGGGTATCCTTTCTCACTTCCCCCTTTAAGGCCCTATGTATCTTTCAACTTGGGGTCTCACCATCAGCTCACTCCTGTAGGAGCCAGTAGTATTTCACATAGAACATATGTGATACAGTTTTTTGATTCAGTCATTGAGTGGATAGCCCTGACTGCTAGTGGGAGAAGACAGGGAATAGTTAAGCAAAGTCCGATGATGGCTAACATTCCCCCGACTAGGGTTTTAAATCTTCCAGAGGCGGAAAACCATCCTCCCCATAAGTTTTGAGGGCTCCAGCCACTCTAGGTTTGCACTGGGACGTGAGCCAGTGTCTGGATTCTTTTCACTATATTCTGTATGACCTGCCCTTGGTGATCAGTTTACAAGCAGCTGTTAAGTTAAATTTTCCACAAACCGCTCTTTCTTGGGCTAATAAGTGGATTCAGAGCCAGCCTATTTTGATAGACAGCATTCGAATTTGAGTTTGCTGTTGCACTAGGGGCATTAGTGCTCTGCCTACTTCATTGGTTATAATCTTAAGTACTATTTGTAGTCTAATTATATGCTTTAGCATGTAAATAGGAACTTGATACCTCTATGACCCATCCTTGGCCCCTGTAGCTGGTCCATAATACTAGATTATTCTTTCAGGGGCCACTCATCATCTTTCCAGTCTTGTATCATAACCTCCTTCCTTCAACTGGGCAATGTGGCAGAGAGTAGATAGCCAAGCAATTCTCCACTATTGAGTGGCAACAGGACAAAGTAGGGTCTGGTGACCACTATTTCACAGCTCCTACTCCAATCACTGGGACAGCAGGCATATGCCTATTCCCACATATCCAGTACAGCCCAGTTGGGGCTGTCCAATCTCTTGGACTTCCCAAGTCCTCCCAACCTTTACTCAAAAGGGCAAATCTGCTGAGAAGGTATTGCCTGGTTCTATTAGTTCCCCACCATTCACTTTTTTTTGGCTCTCCAACAGATGGCAAGGCAATACTGACCTATGAAGGAAGCTGACTCTCCCCACCCGGCAAGGCAGTATTGACCTATGAAGTAAGATCTCAGACCCCAAAAAGTTTCATTCAGAGAGGGCTTTTTATGGCCTGTGATGTTGATAACCTCATAAAGTAGCAATTCCTTTGCTTCACACAGCCACTGATCCCCCATGAAGGTTTCTCCACACACATAACATGAAGTAACATTCAGAGACTTAACTGTGCCCTCAGCCAGTCCCAAGAATAAATTTTTGGCATTACACAGAGGTTGAGGTAGGAACCTGGTAGCTTTTCCATAGAAAAACTTAAATACCTGGTAGGTTTTGTTTTTTTTTTTTTTTTTTTGGGGGGGGGGGTTCTGGTCTTGTCCCTTAATGATACTTGGGACATAAGGGTTAACTCCTTTACCATTTATTCCCAAAGTCACTGTTTCTCCTGTTTCCCACTGTGGGTTCAATGGATTAGTGATTATTAGTTCCAGAGGGTTGGACTGATTTTCTGAGCAATTAGATGCCACCAGTCCTTTGTTGAGGTAGACTTCTTCCTGATTACTCTTTCCGAGTGGCCCATGTGTATACATAGCCAGTATGGGCAATTTATGTCACACCATCCCAAGTCTCGGGAGCATG